TATAAACATTTCACTGATGCGGCTCGCCATGTCTCTAACGAAGCCTGCATCCAGGCTTCCATCCGATTTGCCATGTCGTTCGCGACATAGGCTTTTCCAAAGCTCTTACCAGCGAAGTCTGCTGTTGGTAAAAGAAGTGCCCTTTGCACTCTCGAAGAAATGTCTCAGTTTGGCCGTTCTCCTTCAGTCAAGCACGGAGTTACTACCCACAACTTGGTATCATCTGCTGAGCGTTTCCTGGCTGCTGTCGAACCGGTCATGTACGAGAGGCCGCCATGCAGGCATTTCTGTCGTGTGCGAAATTCGCAAAGCTGGTGTATGTTGTACAGAAAATCAAGCTCCGGCACCCTTGCGACCAGTATCTGCCAGAACACCAAAATTACAGTGGCCTGATTATTTACTGAGGTAGTAAGCGAGGCTCGGAGGTGATCAATTGGTGATAAACTATCACTAGTCAGGGTAGCTTGATTTTTAATGCGTCATACTTCGTACTCTTCAAACTCTATCTTTTTCTTAATACTGTTTATTTTTCCAGGTTTCTTTCAGAATCCCCTGTTCACAAAACCCAGTCCACTCTTGTAACCAATAATGCGGCACAATGCGAACAAGAAAAAGTAGAAACGAGCAGTTACAACCTTTGTCGAAAGTATGGGTACATGTAATTACTATCATGGCATTCAACGTATTGTCGACATAGTTCCTTTATCACGCAGATTGGCATTATTACAGTGCCGTGTTTCCTTAAGAATCAATCAGCGTTAACCAACCCTTGCTCAGGTGCACGCAGCATTAGATTCAGGTAACATACAGGTCTTTGCTGCGGAAAAAATCCATGACCATCGCGTCAAAGGAGGAAAATTGAATGCATTTGTAGACTTGGAGATAAATTACTATACATAGAAGATAACTTCACTTTACATGCCTTTTATGAAGGCAAATATTTAAATCAGACGAATGTATCTGTAATCAGCAAGGACAGTCATTACTTAGTCTTTTGATGAAGGAGTCCCTAGATATTTTGTCGATGAAACATCATCTGGGCATTGAATATCCCTCCTCCGTTGTGATAAGTAAAAACTGGGGTGCAATCACCAACTTGATATAAAATACGTTCAGACTGAGGTAGTGAGTGGTTAAGATTAAAGTTACAAATAATAAATAGTGATTATATTGGCTTGAAACACTAGTGTGAATGATGCATTTTGTATGCGCAAGGTGGCTCATTGCCTGTTATATCGCTTGTGTCCTAATGATGCTACGGCTGGCATCGGAAAACGCGTTGAAAATAAAGTGTTAACATCTGCATGGTTTGCTACTACCCTAACCTATGAATCTGCATACTGCCCGTAACTTCAACAGTGGGACCAGACTCAGAAATGTTACATCATATTTATCTACCTATATTTACATCAACACAACGGTTATGTCAAATATTCGGTACGTACAGGTCAGTATGTACTGTCGGCATATCCGTATCTACCTCAGTTGACTCAGATACAATTGCCTTATTAGATGCTTATCTAATTTGACAATGGCATCGAATGATTTGCGTTGCTCATTCACTATGTTCAATCTTAAGCGTAAACTCAGCACGAACAAATTTAAACGTAATTTGATATGTAAACTGATCTGCGCTAGGCCATTAGTTCATGTCCACTCATTGAATTTGTGTGCTGAAATAGATCCCATTGCATAGTAAAGCAACGATGAAAATCACATGCACCTACGTGCATTTGTCTTTGCGCGCTATCGATGGGTCGTCCGACCAGTCATTCACTGAAGGCCTCACATCTCGGACTCACGCCGTAATTTCTGGCTGGTTTCAATTGATCTTTCAATTGATCTTGGACGTTGCAATGTCTGTGACTGGG